AGTTGAATTCCGTTTCGTCTTACAACAATCAGAGGTAACCTTAATATTTTACAATGTACGAAGGTGAGACCCGTAACGCTCCTTCCATCATGGTTGATCCTAAGGCTGCTCGTGACAAGCCACAATCCCCTATCGGTAGGAAAAGCATCTGACGGAACAATGTTATACGATAAACCGTTTTATTTTAATAATGTGTGTGCGTGTATTTTTGTACAATATAATAATAATAATTATAGTAGCAATAGAAGTAGTAGAATAATAGTAGTAGGAGTAGTAGTAGTAGTAGAACAGCTGGTAAGTAGTAACAGCGTGTTTTATCTCGCCGGAATCCTCGCCGTTACAGGCTCGGTTCGTCGCAGACAAGAAATACAACGTGCAGACATCTGCCTTCGGATGCGGGCCTTTTGCTATCGTTCCCGTCTCGCGTAAGGTGCGAAACGAAAAGCCACCCATAACGACGGGATCCTGGCACAACGGCGCGCCATTGTTGCCTCTACTGCCGCTACGACTATATTCGATGGTTCGAAGGTTCTTTCGAATTTGCTTGATAATCGATCGATTGAATTGGTGGTTAGATGACGTTTCGCATGAAGAGTCGTCTATTCTTCCTCCTCTTCCTCTTCCTCTTCTTCCTCCTCCTCTTCTTCCTCTTCCTCCTCTTCTTCCTCCTCCTCTTCCTCTTCTTCTTCGCCCTCGCCATCCTTGCCTTCTCCACCCTCTTCCTCTTCCTCCTCCTCCTCCTCTTCTTCCTCTTCTTCTTCGAACTGTGGCTCCTCCAAGTCCTCGTCCTCAGCCGCAGCCTTCACGTCTTCTTCGCCCTCCGGTGACTCGGGGTCTCCAGGCTTCTTGCCCGGCCTCTCGCCGAACCACTTCGGCAACTTCGCTGTTTTTCGTTGAGAAAATAGATATGTTAGAAATACAGTGATTCGATAAACGAGAAATGTTCGTTAGGGTCGTTAGCAACGACAACGAAAGGATTAACACGATAATTTTATGCGAGGGGTTTGGTAACCGCGTAACGGTACGTTCCGAATGAAAACCAGACGTGAAAGGGATACTCCGGGATGCGGGAAACGTTAGCTTTTTCTTTCACCGGGAAACGGATCGAAGATCAAAGGTATCGAGGCTCGTTTCCAATTCCGCGGAATGTTTTTCTCCTCGCTTTTCGACGCGGTCCCAGCGAAACCGGCCAAGTATGCCTCTCTGCGACGGTTGCAGCTTTGACCCAGTTTCCAGAAAACGTTCTGGCTGGTCAGGTTTCACGAGTCGCGCGGCGCTCGAGCGGGCACACACGGGGATACGTGAAATAATAAACGCGGGATACAGCGGAACACTTTTTACCGCGGCGTCGGTATTTTAGTATCTTCGTGTTACCCCGATAAAAGCGACCGGCGGTATACTTCCGAACGGGACTCCAACCGATCCATAAATTCTTATAACACGAGACACGCGAGCGTAATATCATTTTATTACGGCCCGGGTAATATTCTTCGAACGATCCATCAACTGTTTTTCCTCTCCCCCGGAAAAATTCCCCATTCATTTTCATCCCGGAATCAATCCACGCGCGTGTCCGCCCAAACGATTGGTTCTTGCATACATACTCTTCTGGCGACCGAGGAATTGCTCCTTCTGCTGAGCCCATTGCTTCTCTATGGTCTCCTTTTGCTGTTCGGTCAGACCCTGAAACACCAACGGACAAAATCGCATGCTAGGATACATCATCACACGGGGTGGCCATTCGTTCGGACCCTCTTCTGTTTTCTACTCATTGCCGTGCGAATTACTGCGTTTCGTCGAACTTGTCGGAGTCACAAGGGGATTGGAACCTATTAACGACTCGCATTCACGCGCAGTCTGGAACCAGCTTCTAGAAACGGCTCTTCCCGGAACATTGAATCGCTTCAGGTGGTTTGGGGTTGATGGGGCAAGGGGGAGGGCATCGAGACCAATCAGACACCCGTTAGCTTGTTTCACCATTGTTAATGACGGGCTCTCGTTGCTTAGATTAATCTATCTACTGTCCAGTTACGCGGACTCAACGTTAGTCACTTGACAACGATGTCTGTGTTGTGACGAGTTTCGAGTGAGTATGTGTAGGTATAGATATAACAGTGTACATTTTATCGAGTGGATATCTGTGCTGATCCTTCATGTGACGCGGGCACGCGATCGAAGGATTCTTGAAAAGTATTCTACCGAGCTTTTCGAAGCATCCCGGTGCTTGCGTGTTGAGAAAGAAAATTTCGAGTAAATCGTTTTCGAGTGTAGAGAAATTGGAGAGTTTGTAAAGGAACTCACGATCGTTGTTTCGATAATAAATTATGATGAACATATCTGAGAAAGACGATGTGGATGTGTGGCAGCACTTAAGTGTTTCTATGTTGTAGTGCCATTATTTGGTAAACGGAGATCCAACACGAATTAGAAACACAATCGTTCCTACTATCTTGGGGGCATTTCGGGGCTACGGGTCAGGGAGGTCAATCAGCAATGCAAGCAAAAGGGTGGTACGCTAACAGAGCTCGATGGGACTCACTTTTGGTGCGCTTCATGAACTGTTCTGATTTCTGTTTCCACAGTTTCTCGTTGTACTCCGCTAGAAGCGTGTCATAGCCCTGCGATTCAATCGACATTCTTCACTGATCAATCGTTCAAATCCATTTTCTTTCTAGCTTCTACTACAAGTACGCTATTTGCCTAACAAGCTCTGTCGCTTATTCTTTGTCGTTCATCGAATTTCCGTCTTTACGTTCTTTTCTCTTGGTATGCAAATCGAGTTTATGAAACGAGATTCCTTTGATCGGATTGCTGTTACCAGCGGAATGCATAATAAATCTAGTGGCAAAGTATGATAGATATTTCTGTCGATCTTTTTTCTACATTTTTATATTTGGGTCGTCAGGGTCGCGTTACGAGGTTCGAAATGAAACGAGTCGTTTCGTAAATGGAACCTGAATTCCAGAGTCGCCTGGCTACTCGAAGAATCAGCGACTGATTTGATTGGTACAAAGGTATACTTACACCCTCGAAGAGCTTCTTCTTGTCATCGTAGGACCTGGTATCCACGCGACGTTCGTATTTGGAGGCGACTTGGATCTTGGGCTGTACGAACAAAATCATTTTGTATTTTTCTGAAAGAGGTTTATTTCAATCTTTGATTTGATTCAGTCATGTACTCACAGGGTACTTGCCGGTAAGGGCTTCGGGGTCGAGACCTTTCTTCAAAGCCTTGTGCCTCAGTTGCTGCTTCTGACGTTCCTTTAATTCTTTAAGCTGCAAGAGATCGAGAAGGATTACTCGAAACGATATCAATCACTGCTATACTATATTATCACTATAGAGTATTTTACGATTGATCAACGTGTAATTGACATTATAACGGTTCGTTTCTATGATGCTTACGTCATAGTCCTGACGTTTCTGTCGTTCCTCCAGATCGTATTTCTCGGTTTCCAACTTGACTATGGTCTCCCAGAGCTCGTTAGCCTTGGATCGGAGCTTCTCAATGGACAAACCATCCATTTCCAGGGGTTTGATACGGATGCTCAGCGAGATTTTCTTCTCCTCTTCGAGCTGCTCTTTCGTCTTGTTGCGTTCCAATTGCGCCGACGTGAGGTTGCCCTGCCGCGATTAAAACAATATTAATAACCCTTGAAAGGATCAATTACGAAATGACAAACGATCGGATCAAATCCCGCGAATCGATACCCACTGCAAGATCTTTCCTGGTGATGGTAAAGTTCGGTCCCTTCTTGCTCGCCTGGTCCTTCATCGCTTGCATCATAGCCTGGCGTTTCTTTTCTGATTCTTCGAGACGCCTGAATAATTGAACGTTACATTAATATTTCTTGTACCACCACCTGTATGGAAAGAGTCGATTCGCGAAAGGATAAAACGTACTTTCTCTTCTCTTCCATGTCGCGTTGTTTCTTCTCCTCTGTAAAATGCGAAAAGGGAAAGCGTGATAAGTTTCTCCAGGACAAAGGGAATCTAGTTGAACAAATTCCGAACGTTACCGATTTCACGTTGGCGACGTTCCTCCTCCTCTTTCTTTTTCTGGGCCAATCTTTTCTCCTCGTCTGCGCGGGTGATCTTGCGCTTCGCTTGCTTCTCCTGGAAAACAACGGATCATTTGGCGGATAGATAAAGTCACCGTACAACAATTCGAAGCATTGATAACGACTTTGTCTTCGCGAGACAATCCAATTAAGACATGGTATACGCGAAAACGATTTTGTTCCGCGGTTACGAACCTTCAATCTCTTCAGCTCCTCCTCCTCCTTGGCTCTTTGCTTCCGCCATTCTGCAATGTATTCCTTGAGCTGTTCGTCTAGGTCGCTTCGCTTCTGTTCCTGCCTCTGTGACCGAGAAAAAGGACACGGAAACGAACGTGAATGCCGCTGTTTCGGGCGAAATCTCGCGTGATATCGCGTATATACGAGATCACCGGGGGATCTCTCCTCACCTTCATAAACTCAGGATTCTCCCCAGAGTCCCTGATGTAGGCCGGAGCGAAAACAAAAGTAACTCTCTTTAGTTCCTGCCGCCTCGTCCTCTGAGAGATCTCGCAAGATCTTCCAGAACCAGAACGCCGTACGCCACTCTCACGTTCCACTTTCTATTATTTATTACACTCCATCCATTCTCTCTCTCGTAGCGAATCATTTTTTTCCTTCGTAAACCTTTCTTTTTTTTTTCTTTTCTTTACCGTTGTTTTGCGTTTCGTCGTGTACGCGCGTGACAAACACGCAAACAACCAGACAAACAAACAGACAGACACGCAAACGGACGGACGTACGGACAGACATAATAAGTGTGTAAAGCGCTCGGAGAGAAGAAGATTAGGTGCGCAGTGTGTGAAAGAAAGTACAGACAGAGAGAAAGAGAGATAGAGATAGAGAGAGAGTGAGAGAGAGAGGGAGGGTATACTTCAGGATATAAAAGGAAGGGAGGCTGGAGACATTAATGAGTTTAGGGGAAGGGGGAGACCGACGAGTTTGCGGCGCGGGTGGAATCTATTAGACTCCCTCGGACAGGATATTGGAAAATTGATGGAGGGTTTTACCGTGAATTACGCGGTCACTTGAATTTAAATTTTGTTTCGAGTCCGGGTGAAGTATTGAAGTTCCCCGATGAATCGGGGAGCCCATAATTTCTTTGCGGTCGATCTCCAGTGGTTTTCAATATGAAATTTATTATCGCGTCGCTGTAACGTCGACCGATAGAATACGCTCGGCACTATCATTCACCGGGGGAAAAAAAAACAAAACGTTCCCACGGAAAAAATCACGACACCGCGCGAAGAGTGAAAAATATAAAGTATCTGTTTCGCACCTCGAGACGAAGTCGCTCGTCAAAGTCGTCGATCAAAAACCGGGCGTGGTTCGAGAGCAAAAAAATAAAAATACACGATTCTCCAATTTTGGAAACGCATCAAAAATCTCTGGTATTCTCAAGCACGTGGGCGCGTCGGATCGAATGACACCACGTGGACCGAGTCCAGGATCACCGAGAAAACGAGGGTAGAGGATCTCTAATTTTAAAGATGATTCGGTCGGTGACGAGACAGCTAGCGGCTAGCGCCGGCTCGATCTCGTCGGGTCGCATGGGATCAATGATACGGGGACTACGGGTTCGTTCGTTTAGTGTTTAGCTGTGAGAGAATGGTAACACGAAGCCGCCCGAGAACAAGCGATTAAGCAGTTTCTTTTTATATAGAAGCGATTTGTCAGCGGGTGTCGAAGTGTGAATACAATCGGAGAAACAGCGAAACAGCTCGCAACGAGGACAAGAACAATCGTGCCTGAAAGACAACTCCGACGTCGTTGTCTGTCGAGGGAGTTGCACGGTGAAAGCCGGCTGTTAAATTTTGCGCAACGGAAACGTTCGCGTAAGACAGAAGGGTTTCGTATGCCCGCGTCCGGTGCAACGAAGACGACGATCGGGGGTGAACGGAAAAGGCATACGGAGCACAGAGACCCAGCGCACAATCTTCTTCTCGTCAGACATTTTCCTCTTCTTCTTTCCTATACGCGAGAATGCAAGCAACACACAGTCGCCATCGTCGGTGTCGTCGTTCAGATTCGTCAACGATTATCGGAAACGCCGTAACAAGCCACAGTCGAAAGCCAAGGAGCTGGCCAATGAACATTGAAAACACGGGAGTCGACGATCGTGTCATCGCGGTGGATCACTGAATCCCTCAAATCTACGTCTTCGTTTCGAATCATCGAATCGAGTTCGAACATCCGAGCTGTGTTAGCGAGCGTAATGAACATAGACAAATTGTAATTCCTCTATGCTTTCGCACTCGTAAGTTTTCCAATAGAAATATTCAATATTCTCCGTTGAGATACGTGTAGATGGTACTCTCTTGAAACTAAGTAACGAGGAAACCTACGTAAATGAAAAAGATTTAAACACCACCACCGTAAATAACAGTCAATAACTTTGAACGTTCCAACGTCAGGAAGTTGTTCGCGACTCGATTCGATATTATAATTTCCAATTCCGAATAATCCTCGAGGATCTCTAAATATCGTGCGGAGGCAATCGAGTTCAATGACAAAAGCCAGGAAAGTGGAGCCGGGCACACGGGAGCCGGTCCAAATTTTGTCCTCGGTCAGTTTATTCTCTGATTCTCGCCCGCGGCGAAATCATAAACAACGTTCAACACCGTTGGCAGCGCAACCAGCTGTTACGCAACCGCGTTACGAAACGCGTCGGGCCGAGCGAGTCACGTCGAACCCGAGATCTCGTGGATTTCGCGGATTTCGGAATTCAGTGAACCCCCCATCCCCCCCCGGAGGACGCCTCAGCTGATCCTCCTCTCGCGACGAAGAGATCGAAGACGACAGGGTGATTTGGCGGCGGTGATTATTGCTGAGGGTCGTTTGATTATGGCGCAATATCAACACGATTAACAGAACGGCGACATAACCGAGGTTTTGCGGGTGGTTTGGGTTTCGTTGATGGTGATTCTGATGGGCGGGGGAGGACACGAAGATTGGCGGGATGTAAAAAAGTAAAGTACAACATCAACAACAGCACGAGCCCTGAAAAGTGCAGGATACAAAACAAAAAATGAAACGAAACATGACACCAAGTGTGGGGTTCGTTCAGAACGGGATCGACGGTGGTCCGCCGATTGTTTATCGATTATGTACAGAGAGCCGTTAATTCGTTATT